TTAAAGAAGCGCGACGTTCGAAGACCGACGATTCTACAAATCCCGTGACAATCCGATGTGAAAACGGGAAAACGAAAAAAATCTAATCTCTCGCGGGTGAAGCGCGCGACTTTGGAATTTGCACCGAAACGCCTGTTGCGCCACCACGAAACAACACCGCTACGTGGTTAGCGGACTAACTAGGAACGTGGGCCGTGAATTATGAGTTCTCGTGTATGTTCACCGTGTCTGTGCGATACTCGCGGTGCAATTTGCGAACGGTTCCGCGGCAATCGTGACCGGATACACTTTCAGAAGAAATCGATAATTGCGCCGGGTGCATTAGGCGAATTGCTTTTCTTAATTGTTACGCGGATGCGCATTCTTTAATCGCATTAAACGTCTGTGAACGTGTTCCCGCTGATTTGATTTTTTTTTTCCTACTAAAAACAAATAAAATCTCTGATAATTATTCGCGAAAAAACACGTTGCATATTATATTTGAAAACACACACACACGCGATTTGGCTATAAGAATAAAAACATTTTCAAGTGTGTGTTCATTTTTTTCTAAGAAAATTTTATACATGTATGTACATAAAATATAACCTATAGTCTATAATATAATAATCTATATGTAAAATAACTTTGTCACATGTTATGCTGCAAAAGATAAAACACTAAAAAAAAAAAAAAAAAAGAAGAAGAAGAAAAAAGAACAGCTTCGAAACTGAATATTTTAATTTTTTTAAAGAAGAAGAAGAACCTAAAGAAGTAATTTGTTTTCTCTTTCATTTCTTATCTGAGGAAATAAAATATGAAACAGTTTTGTATTTGCCTCGCGCACGTAACTCATAAATAAATTCTGCGGTGGATATCTACGTATGTCAATTTTTCGATAAAAAAGAATTGTAATGAACTACTGTTACGTAAGAACTTTAAACCCGAAAACAAAATGCATACAAAAATATCTTTTTACAGACCTTTGATCCTACTTTCAATCTTGCTCAATTTGTTATTTAAGTGCCAACAATGTTTTGTTGACGAAAACTAGAGGAAAAGATCAAACGCGTTCGATTACCGCAATGGCATGCGTCTCTGTCCGGAGAAAGCCGGTTGGCGCGAATTTCGCGAACTCGGAAGTGGATCGGAACGGAGGAGCACAGCGCGAGGAGAAGAAACACGCGCGCGATGCAACAGACGACAGAGAATTCAGGAAAGAGAGGCTGGAGGTGGAGAGGGAAGTATTGCCCAGACGGAGGAGTGCGAAACGAAAAGAACCGGCAGGCACGAAAGAAAGAGAGAAGAAGGAGAGATAGGCGGAAAAAGTGAGATCGAGAAGTGAAGAGAAAAAGCGAAGATGAGAAAGAGCGCGCGTTGAAAGAGAAAGACGGAGAAAGAGGTTTGGCAAGCGGCACATTAGCGACAACAAAGGCTCGACACAAGAGCATAGGCGGAGAGAGTCATTGAGAGGTTACCTGCGACATCACTGGCGGTCGCTACGTCGGTGATGAGGTTGACTCTCTGTCGCGATTGTTGCTGCTGCTGCTGCTGCGGCACCTGATGCTGCTGGAGGCTCTGCTGAGATCCCGTCAAGGACAGGTTGCCGGCACTCGTAGCGGTACTCTCCGTCAAGATCGGCACCGCAGCGGAGGAGGAGGTTGACGACGTGGACGACTCCGCGAGCGGATCCGGCGTCGTCGCGACGCCGGTGTTGTTGTCGAGGACCGTCGCGGGCTCTTCTCCGCTCTCCCCCGTCCTCGTAGCCATTCGGCCCTCGTGTTTTCCAGCCAGCCAGCCAGGCAGACAGACAGACAGGGCACCCTCTCCTCCTCTCCTCTGCACGCGTCGTCTCCCCGCGAAGAGCGCACGCACTTCTCTCTCCTCGGAAGAACACCTACACTCTTTTACGTGCTCCCTTTCAGGCTCCTTCTTTTTCCCGCGTTATATATCTCTCTCTCTTTCTCACTCTCTTTCGCTCGCTCGCTCACTCTCACTCTCTTTCTCTCCCGCTCTCACTCTCGTCTTGCGTTTCTGTCCCGCGGTAGCGCGTGCTCCGTTCCCGGTACCTCTCTTTTTCCACGCGTGCGCTCACACATGCACACATACATACATACACACACACACACACACGCACACACAACTCTCTCTCTCTCTCTCTCTCTCTTTTCCTCGACGTCACGCTTACACTTTCCTCCCGTGCACGTTGCTCTGTCGTTTTCTCCCTCTCGCCTCCGCCGCCACGGACTCTCGTTCTCTTACGCTCTCTCTTTCTGTTTCGCGTTTGCGCACGCTCGCGTTACTCGTCTCTTTCCCTTCGCTCCGTCTCTTTTTCACTTAAACGCGTCCCGCGCGTCGGTCCGATCGCCGTGTCCGAGTAAGCGTGTACCGAAACTGCACACCACCGCCTCGCTAACTTGCTCGCTCCGTCGTCGTTTTCTTCCTTCTGTCTCTTTCTCTCTCTTATTCTCTTTCTCTCCGGACGTCGTCAACGCCGCGACCGAACGTCGGTATAGCACGGGAACGACGGCATCGCACACACGCACGCACGCTTTTGCACGCTTCGCACCCGTTGAAGAAAAATAAAGAGGCCCGTATTTGTTAACCTCCCGTGTCCGTCGGCCCGTAAAAAAATGGAACGTTAGACAAATGTAGGTCTGTAGGCCACTTCTCACTTACACTTTGCATCGGACACGGGCACTCCCTTAGTCAAGCGAGCGTCCGGCACACTGTCTCGCCTCCTGACAGCCGCGATTGCCCGCAGGACCGTAACGCGCGCGTACGCGACCACGTGGCTGATGTCAACGCCGGGAATAGAAAATTTATATCCGCGTGTTTTTCTTCATCACGACGTCGCCGATGTTCGACGACGAGATTTTTAACGCGCGAGAATAAAAAAATTCGGTTTCTCCTCGTTCGGTAAACATCGTCGTTTACGCACGACGTTCACAATGTGACATCACGTGCGGGCACAGCTGTCATCATACAAGTCACGTATATATGTACATAGCGCGGGAATCCGAGAGATTCCGGTGCTTGCGGCACTTGCGGCGGGAAGTGAGTGTTATTCGGGATATGTATTTTATCGCGATAAAAAAAAAAAAAAAAAAAAATTGAGAAAAAAAAAACAGTGACGACGAACGAGTGCGAAAGTGAGAGAGAAAAAACTTTGCGGAGCTCGCGCAACAATATTGTGGTTGTCTCGTGCCGTAAAATTAACGTCGTTATCCGGAGCCGGACGGAGCGAAATGAGAAAAACTTTCCCCCATGTTTGCCGTAACGTAGTAACGCCGCGTTCTACGGCAGTGGCTTAACGAAAGGGAAAACCGTACGTAAGACGCAATCTCGCTGAAAAACGCTCGCTTTCGCGTGACATTCGAAGCAACGTGACGTCGCGTCGTCAACGTGTTGTACCATCGCCATTATCCGAAATTTCGCACGAAGTGAGAGAGAGAGAGAGAGAGAGAGAGGGAGAAAGCGAGGGCCGAAAAAGAAATGTGGACAAAGAAATACGGTGCACGCTCCGACGGGCCTCCCGGGGCGCGGGCGCCGTCGCGCGTCTATTACGGCACTGCGTGTCTCTCGTCCGGCGGCGAGCTGTCACGAGCGGAAAGACGCAATTTCCAAAACGCGTGTTTTTTCCCCGTCGTCGTCCCGTCGACCGCGGCCGCGTCAAATCGACGTCGAAATTCACGGGCCGGTCGCGAGCCCTCGCGAAACCTAACCTAACCTTCGTTACGCACGCGAATTTTCCGGTCGTTCTTTTCCCATCCCAGGAAGAGGAGGCGGGGGAGAGGGGGAGGGAGAGGGGAGATCTCTGATTACGAACCTCTGCTGTGTGCGGCGGGTCGATTTGCCCGCCGCGTCGGATACGACGATAGCCAAGCTTTAAGTAGGTCAGCTGCCGCGGTGTCCGATCGCCCGGCGCGGGCCGCCCTTTCGCGGCGCACGTTGCATAACTCGTCACGCGCGACTTCACCAAATATAACCGCTGTAAAAAAAACTACGGTCTGACGGACATAATGCGGTGTAATCCCGTCTCAATGAACAATGCACTTGACTAACGCACTCGTTCGGCGCGGCCGGCGCCATCTGCCGCGCGAGCGCGCCCGATTTGAAACGCGTCCGCGTACGTCGTTACGCGCAATGTGTTGGCGCATATGCACGCTTTACGTGCGCGACGAGACACACGATGTGAAAAACACACACGGGCGTGTTTAACCTTTGACCGACAAGTTGGAGCACAATTACAGATGCGGTTATGCAACGATGAGAGACCAATTACCGCTTTTTGAAGTCGTTTTCTCTCTCGGCGAGTGAACCGCGTGCGCGCGCGCGATGGCGAAAGATACGTGTGATACAAAAGGATTGCGTTGAGAATTTGAGGGAGTGACATTTCCTGTAACAATGATACGTAGACGACGACGACGATTGAAGAATATATCATATCAATGTACAAACTCGCGTATAAAAATACCGAACTTCTATATACAAATATGTGTACAACTCTTTTTTCTTTTGCCTGATTGCAAACAAATGATACTTAAACAGAAATTGGAACCTTAATTGCCGAGAGACATTTAATATAAATTAGAACTTTATAATCAAGACATTTAATAACAAAAATTAAAACTTTAGCAAACAATTTACAGTAAAATTTTTGATAAGAAGAAATCGTCATTCAAATGATAACGAGATAAAAAAATAGAAGTATGTACACAAAGTTGTTCAGTATTTTAGTTTAGTATCTTTTTTTGTTTTAATTTCTAAGCGACCGGATGTTGATGATTAAAACGATCTTGGAACAAAATTGACGTCTGCACATTAGATGAAATATAAATTTATGAAATTAGAGAAACAATGTTTATATATACATATAACAATGTTTATACATGTATAAAAAACATTGTTAAATATTTGACATTTATAATATACATATAATAAAATATATATATATATATATACATATACATATAGTATATACATATATACGGCGCGTATGTACACAATAATATATGTAAAAGTTATAAAATCTTTCTTAGAATATATATATACGCACATTATATATGTAAACTCCGAAGATATAAAAAGTAATGAATTTTACGACGTAACCGGATGTGCTTGTTTATCTTTTTGGAAAACTACGAAATCTCGTAGAGATCCTCTTACAAAACAGTATTATTGGAACTTGATTATACTTTCGTGATTGTACTGTTTAATTGGCTTTTTGTTTGGTTTCACCCAACAGACAGCGTGATATAATCAATCTTTGAATCTGCGAGGTACCTTCGTAGATTTGATAAATTTTGGCATCACGCATCAGTTTTTCCACTGGATATTCGGTATTAAATCCTGCGCCACCAAAAATCTGAAAAAATCGTTCACAAATATAATAAGTATAATAAAATATCAAAAAAAAGTACTCAATTTTTTTTATATGTATGTAGTGTGAAAAATCTATAACATAAATTATAAACTTATACACTCACCTGTACAGCGTCAGTGGCGCACTTATTAGCCACATCTGAAGCATAACATTTTGCGATGCTAGCGAACATTGTGGCATTCGGTAAATTTCTGTCCATAGCCCAGGCTGCCCTCAGCGTTGCCAATCTGGAAGTCTCAACACCCACGGCCATATCAGCCAGCATAAAAGCTACCGCTTGATGTTCCGCTATTGGTTTGTTGAACGTTTTGCGTTCTAACGAATACTTTGTTGCTTCGTCCAAAGCTCTCTGAGCTAGACCGACCGCGCCTGCTGCGACCTACAATATAAACATCGAGATGTGTTTGTGCAAATCTCGAATGAATAAATATATATTGCATTGAATGCTCTATTATATGTGAACATACCGGTGCTCGTGTTCTATCAAAGGTCTTCATAGCTACTTTAAAACCTTCTCCTTCTTTGAGCAGCACATTCTCTTCGGGTACACGAACATCTTCAAACGTTATCATCCGCGTGTCGCTTGCTCTTTGTCCCATATTTATTTCCTGAAAGAAAATTAAGACAAATAAATACAAAACTCAGAGTTAATACTCAAACAGAAAAGTATTCTTTACGTCTCAATTACCTTACGACCAGGAGTCAACCCATCAGATTCCCGTTCAACAATGAAACCTGTGAAAGCCTTGTTAGCTGGAGCTTTTGGATCTGGATTAGTTCTTACCAGAACAAAATACCTGTTGATAAGAATTATTAGAAGAAATTTTTAAAATATAAGAGTCAAATATTGAAATATGCGCTATTATACCAATTAGCAACTCCGCCATTTGTAATCCACATTTTTGTGCCATTGATTACCCATTCTTTTCCTTTCTTTTCAGCTTTAGTCTTAATACCTGCTACATCTGATCCTGCACCAGGCTCAGTAACACAATATGCCTGTGTGTGTTCACATAATACGCTATTTAACTTCTTTTAAATATCAACTATTGCATTACATGAAAAATATTGCATTAAATATTTATGTAAAAAAAAAAACATTCTGATATAAGTCTTGCTGCTTACCGCGACAAGTGGTTCTTCCATTAATCTCCCGAGATACTTCTTTTGTTGTTCTTTATTTCCCGCTATTATAACTGGAGTTTGCTAAAAATAAACAGTTTAAGATAATTTTATTATATATCATATTTTATTATATATAATAGTAATCAGGTTAAACACACACACTTTTTGTATTAAAAAACAGTCTCTTAATGAAGACCTTTTTTTCTTGATTTTTTCCTGTACCTTACTCTACATTTCTTCCTTTTTTTTTTTATTAATAAAATCTATACAAACTCATTTATATTTCTATATTAAAGTTAAAAAAAATTTTTCTTTAGAAAAAACAATTGTTTCGTACAGAATACATGCAGAGAATAGAAAGAACTGAAATACAGTATGCAAAAAAAACTTACTCCAAGACCAGAAGCCTCTAACGCGGTTGATATTCCTGTACAACCATAAGACAATTCTTCTGTAACCAAGCATCCATCGAAAACACCACTTTCCAGACCACCTACAATAAATTGTAATTACTTAATCTTGTTCCTTTTTGTCCTTGACATGTAATTTCATATTCTAAGGAATAATCATAAATTTATGAACATACCACAACTTTGTGGAATATGTTTATTCAAAAGACCAAGATTCCACGCTTTTTTAACAATATCCCACGGATATTCTCCAGATTTATCATACTTTGCAGCCACAGGAATAATCTCTTCTCTGGTAAATTTCCGTGCGAGATCTTGCATTTCCTTTTGAGTATCCGATAATTCTGAAACAGTACAACAAAACAAAAATAACATATGTAAAAGATATGTATTAGGTTGCAATATGTAAATGGTGTAGTAATATATGCGCATAGATAATATTCTATTACATAGATATGCAATATTAAGGATATATTAATGAACATGTGTGTATACTAACCAAAATTATATCCTTGAGATTCAGCTGCTGCTGAAAATGGTCGTACTATTTGATACAGTTTTGAGTTAAAAACCTAAAAACATATTTTGCATGCATACGAGATGTATAGTTCGATCACTTGATTGATTCATTTTCTACTTCAATTTTTCATCATATGTATACTAAAACTATTTATGGCAAATATTTAGAAAAATATACATAACATGAGACTGACCTTGACTTTGACAATGTTTACAGAAAGTTGATTTCTGAATGAGCCTGTCAAATTAAGCAGTTATTGCTCATTTTCTCTCTTTGATACACATTACTTAGAAATTTTGATATATATATATATATATATATATATATATATATACATATATATACATACATGACATGCATCTGGTCAAAGTTTATGATGTTTATTCAGTAGAAAGCAAATAGGTTCAGTAGATAGCAAATAGATCCCTTCCACTTATATTATTTAAACACTTTGCTAATCTTTGAGTCATTTATTCCCTACTAGGTGTCTTTCAGTCACTTACTCTAATATGTAAAATTATACTAAATAAAAGTATAGATAACAACAAGGTGTTTTTTGTTAGAACAAAAACATATAAACTACTTCTTATTTCTTTTGTTTCTGAATATATTACAGAAATATAATATTTCAGACATATTTTTTCCTACACATTTCTCAAATTTTAGTTCTGATTGTATAAATTTTTCACTAAAAATGTCTGATTGCAAGAAGTGTTACTTTGGAACAAACTTTCTACAAACAAGTGCCTATATGTCAAAGTCAAAGTCCACTCACATTGTGTAAGATACTAAGATACATATCAAATACACAAAATTCCATAAAAATTCATCCAAATCAATTCTTTATACAGTTTCATTTGTTTGTTTTACAGCAAACAGGTGTTTTTTTTTAATTACCTTTCGAATCATCATATTGACGAAGTATTCTGATCCTTGCTCTGAGCTTGACAAATGTATATCTCCACTTGTGACTGGCGAGTTTGCGATCAAGTTATCAAAAGTGAACCAGGCGTGCGTCGAGCGTCGACTAACCACAATAATATACTAATGATCACTAGTGACTAAGCAAAAGCCTGTTTTTACACGTATACTAAATGAGAGATAGAAAAGAGGGGGAGTTTTAACAAACATATATATATATATCACGTGCCACGTGTACGTAAGTCGTGCTATATTACATTTAGGTTGCGTTCGGGTAGCACGCTATCAACGCTATTGCGTTATTCTACCTTTGTTTATATCTAATAAAGATTAAGACTGCGTTCGGGGAACGCGCTATCAGCGCTGTTGCATCATTCTGGCTGCGTTCGGGCAGCATGCTATTAGCGCTTTAGCGTCATTCTATCTTTATTGCTCATTAGATGTAAAACAAAGATAGAATGACGCAATAGCGCTAATAGCATGATTTCCCCGAACGCAGTCCTAGTTTACACCGATCGCTTAATACGCGCATTAAAAAAGTACTATATTAAATCGGCTCGGTCACAATAATGTAAACAATGTCATTAAGCTGGTACGATACGCCTTCTTCACGCGTATCAAAATGATACGCGTATCAAGCACATTTATAATGATGTATGAAACACCAAAATTATATACATTGACAAACAAAAATTTTATTCGATTCGCGTATCAAAATAATGTAACGTGTAAACTAGGCCATTGTGCGTCGCGCGCATCATCTATCAACACTCTGTGCATCGTTGTTCGATTCCACTGGAACTAATTGCACTAATTCAGCGAAAAAGAACAAACCACACGTAGTTACTCTCGCAATTTCTGCAATTATTTAAAAATATTTAAAAAAATAACTTGTTCACACTGAGTAATATCGCCGCGCGCATATATGTCTTTTAAACTATTGTAAAATATTATTGTAAAATACATAAAATAAATAATCAGTAAGCGTATGCAAACGCGCATCAGTCGCGTGCGTTTGCACTACCTACGTTGCACAGGTAACGGATTTATCGGGAAATTATCGCACAGGTGTACGCATGTAAATAAATGTGTAAACGCACACAGGACCGGTTTCATTCTATCTCCGGCTAAACCGACCCCCGATCGATTAAACGTTATTGGTCCGTTCGGATTGATCAGTTCCAACGGAACAAATCGTCTTGACTTTGAGTCAACAAAACAGGAAAGCGTCTTATCCGAGCCTCGTCGACGCGCAACTGCGTGTTCTCTTCGAACGGTAAGACGCGATCGGTAACTCACCGTCGATAAAACAGCCCCACTTGCGACGCGCGGCGACATCTCGTGGAGAAAATGCGCAACAATAAACAGGGCGTACCTGTTCGTATTGCGTCACGAGAGAAAACTCAGATTTTCCTAGTCCGAGCCGTCGGCCATGATGGTAGACGCGTAAGAGCATCGCGGAGCGCCAGCCAGGGCAGTGTCGCGGTGGTATTCGGTGCAGCAACAGAGTCGTCGGGGTGAACGTCGCGCAAGTGAAATCCGGTCGTCTCTCGACTCGAACGAGTTAGGTACGTAAAACGAACGACCGTGGCAAAAACAAAGAAGAGGAACGACGAGAAGGGGCGTCGATTCGGGGCGGCGTCTGCGTGCCGCGTTTCTCGCCGAGCGCGTACAACGGAGCGCAATTTCGTCGGTGATTCTCGGCGTCGCTGATTCTCGTCTGGAAGAACCGCGTATTTGAAAATGGCGCGTGTAATAAGGGCCGTGGCCCCGGCGTTCGGCGTCGTCTCGTGATCCGAGGATCGCGCTTCGCGGATTGTTTTCGAAACGCGCAAGAGGCGAGTTGTTGTTTACGCCCGCGTGCGCCAAGTGCGTCCCCCCGTGTGAGGGTCCCGCTACGCTCAGATTTCGAAGCGACACCGGAGAGTATATTTCGGTGAACCGACGAACCTCTTACCACCACCTATCTACCTGCATCTCTTCCGTGTCGATCGCCCGTGTCCGTTGTTATAGACGCGCGGCGGCATCTTCGCACTGTGTTCCGGCTGTGTGGTGGTGCCACAAGTCCTCTTACCTTTTGCGTCCCATTGCAAGGTGAGCGTGCCACTTCTCCACGATATTACCTCTGATGATGTATGTGTGTGCGCGCGTGTGTGTGTGTGCGTGCGATCTTGAGAAAAAAGAGTCGCGATCTTTTTTTTTCCAGCTGTCTTCTCTCGCGGTGATTTCGCCGCGTCCGGACGAGAAACGCGATCTCTCTCTCTCGTGTGACATCTGATTGATTGGTATTTAAGCGATGCTCGATGCTCGTTGAACGGAAATTGATGATACGTTCTCCACTTTTGCGATGCAAAATTACGAACATGTCTCAGAGAGAGAGAGAGAGATTTGCGACTTTCGTCTCGAAGAAAAACAAAGTTCGCCTTCTGCTCCTCGACCGACTTGTAATTACGCGTTGACGAGAAAATGCGCATTAATTTTTCCCCGATACGCATCTCTGCGCGTGTTGTCGCTCGCTCGGTCTCTCGGACACGAGCCGCTGTTTTTTTTTTTTTCTTGTCACTTTTTATTCTCGTCTCTCTTGTTGCGATTCAACGAGAGACAGGAGTGCGCGCTGGAGCAGCTCCGAACGTGATTGAATTTCCTCGTTTGCGCGATCGAATCTCCGAGATTTTACGAGCGCGAAACTTGCGGTGCGATTCGGACTGCGCGTCGAATCAAGGGCGACGCGTTGATACGTGGGGTGCGAAAACTATTGTGACGTGCACAAGCCGGGTAGAGGAGAGGAGGCACAGGGTTGCAGGGGATGCATTGATCTGTGCTCTCGAAAAGAGCGAGGTGTTTCTCGTGAGAAACGGGGGGCGCATTTGTTGTATATAACACACACACACACACACACACGTACGTGTTACATCGCGGAAGATTTTGCCGGCACGTATACTCGCGACAAAAATACCAACGTTGTAATTTGCGCGGGTAGAGGAAACAGAGAAAATTCCCACTATATAAACTCAACTTCTCTCTCGCGTCGTTTCCTCCCCACGTTCGCCGTCGTCGCTCGCGTTTGCACGTAACGTACAGTCACGCAGTATATAACAAAAGGAAGCAAGGGTTACGTGAGAAGCATCGTATGGGCTGGCACGGGTGTATCGAGCGTCGATGATACGGATCGGTTACGGGGATATCGCGCATATACCGGGTGTTCCCATACAAACGCGATCGAAATTTTTGACCGCTTGAGACACTTTGCATTTCTGTGCTTTTTTTTTTCCTCGCGACAGAGATTTTATTGGTTATCATCAAAGAATTGTCTTTGTAGAGCTCTTATTTGACAGCCAACAAAAAACAACGTGTTTGAACAACGTTTTTGTCATATGACGAATGAATGCAGGAATGTAATCTCCTAACACGCTAGAACACATAGAGTCAAATATGTAATAAAACATCTAGTGTTGTCACATTTGTCAATTCGACGGTGCATAACGTTTGTTCGTTATTATATTTTTGGAGATTTTTTTTAAATATGAAATTTAATTAATTGTCAAAATAAAAAACTTTTCGGAGTTGGCAAAGATTTTTTTCAACGTACATCAGTACAAAAGCACTTTGATAATTTCTGATTTAAAGATTAAAAAGTCGAAAATTCGTCATTCTGACAGATTTGATTGTTCTAATAAGTATTATTTGATCATCAGTAGGTATTCAGATAATTAGTCCCGTTAAAAACAATTATTAAGCGATTTCGTGTTCGCGGAGAACGGCTCGAAATGACTGTCGCGAAATGTATCTTGTAAATACGAACATGTAGGACACTGCGAAACTACACTACGTGGCTTGTGTGCGAATCAACGAGCAATCGTCGCTCGGTTTCTTCGAGAGTCGGACATTTACGACACATTTAACAAATAAGATAAAAAACGCTTTTTATTTAGGAAATTAATTTTGTCAAAGAATTTAAATGACAATATTCGATAGATCTTTAAAATTAATCTTGGGTTTTACGCTCAACCTTTATTTTTATTTAAAATAATCTGTGCTATTTTTCAAGTGCCTAATCTGCGTGAGATACCGGCAGATACATATCGATAGTTTCGATACGAGATTACGTGTTTGATTACGGCTATCGTTACGGCTATCGTTCAATTGCGCCTGAAAATGTCCAATGAGCGTGAGCATTTGTGAATAAGGGGATGAATTATTGCTCGCGTAAAACGACGGAAAGAGAAAGAGAGACAAACCGATTCTTGTAAGCACATTCATGTATATGTATGTGCTTTTTTTGTTCTTTGCACCATGTCCTGCGGAAAAAGAGAGCATCGAATTTTGAACTTATCTTTTAATAACCGCGACTGTTACGTGAAACTTGTCATGAAAAACAAGAATTTTTTACACATTTTATGTAAAGTTCATTACCAATTGAAAACCGCAATTAGTTTTAAATATTGTTAATAGTAAAAGCATCTAAAAGTAAAATTAAAAAAAAAAAACCAATCAAGTCTTTTGTTTTTGCAATTTATGTTTTTAATCTTCTCCAATTCTGTTGATATTGTTTTGGTTTTTTTTATTTTCATTTCTTCGTACAAGGAGTATATTGGAACGAACGATACTAACGCGATTTGACTCTAACGAAGCTCTTATATCGCAAACTGCTCTTCCAGTTTCCGTCGTTCCTATTTCAACGATCGACCCTGAGGGCAAGATTGCTTCTCAATACGTGCCACGCGCGCGCACACGTATACACGTTCGGTACTTTTTTTTTTTTAATTCTACACGGTATAAACACCAATGCAATTCGAGTTTATTCGATGTCTTTGTTAAAACCTGTTCGATCGACAGAATAGTTAATTTCGAATTAATGTGTGTATTGATTTATCGACAGAATATTAATCTCGAATCGATATGTGTATTACTTTGCTTATTTTAACTATTTTTCACGTACACATTTAAAAGCGCGTGGGTCTTAAAAACTTGATTATTTCTCTCGATTGGAAACTAATCAGAGCCTTGTTTCGATTTAATTTCACTTCAAAGCGTTGCATCAGAAAAAAAGTACATGTTTTTCTCGCGTGTACATCGCTGATCGGGACGCGAATGTGAACGAGACAAAATACTGAATTAAATTATACCGGTTTTTTCTTTGTTTGCGAAAGTTGGATTCCGGAGTCATTGGGTTGTTATATCACACGCATATAGTACACATCTACAACCGCATTTAACGCGCGACTCGAGATTTCCACAGCATCGCCGGGAATTAACGACTTAACCTTGGGGCGCGAGAGAGGCCGCGAGTATTCTGGCGATCTCTCTCCGCAAACACCCATCCTCCTTCTTCCCCACTCTTTTCCCACTGGTTCAATTAGGTCAATTATGCATTTTACTGCAGAGCACTATTTTCGAAAGACGCATCATCCGCCGGATGCGCTTTTACGACTCTCTCTCTCTCTCTTTCTCTCTCCCTCCGGTGATCGATGAAGAGTTCAGTTCCGCACTCGCCGTTTTGGCTGCGTCTCGCAGTAAAACAGTGGACAAGATTCGCGGAAGATACACGTTCCGTAAATTGTGGGGAAGAAGCTTTTCAGTTCTGTCTCGGGATAAAAACCAAGAGCTCTTCGCTACAATTTTTCTTTTCACTCGTCATTCGTCAGTGATTTGTAAATCGCGCCGTGTGAATCTCGCGTGAAGTGTTTTTTAAAAATAGATTGACTTGTAAATTTTGCTATTTTTTATCGCGTGTAAAGAAAACGACTGACCTTACGTCGTGGGATTGTCGGTTAATACTCCCGGTTCTTCTGTCGCAAACGCGCGCGCGTGTGTGCGTATACGTAACGCACTGTTTATCGTCGAGTCAAAATCTCGGGTCGGGCCTTCTTTGTGTATAACTAACGTTATTCAAATACTAAAATTGTGTAAGGGGCACGAAACTCACAGTAACATTTTTTAAATGTTCCTGTGTTTTTCGAATACATTAAAAAATTGTTTTTATCAAAATATCTTAGTTGACGAAATCGACCATTAATCGGCAATTAATTTCCGACTTGTTTCCAAGTATTGTCGTTATGTTTCGAATATCTCGCGGTGAGACGATTGACAAATCAGGCTATTAGACACGAGTCTAAAATCATAAAAACAGACTCAGGTAGCGCGCCAAACGTAAATACACGGACCCATGTTTTTCGCGTTTCTGTGTTGGCGATACTCTTAATCACTGATTAAATCAATCGGAATTCGATGGCATCAGGTCATCCCTCGGTCGCGTCTCTCGTGTTGTGCCGCCGGCTTGATTTCAGGCTCCGGCTTGTGACGCCGCTTCCAATGAAGCGTGCGACAACATCCTTTGATATCACGGCGCGAAGCAACAGCGACTTCTGATTCATTCTGTGATCACGATGTATAAAAACAGAGTTTCCGCCACCGATACTCGTCGCTGTTTAATTGAACATTCTTCCATTTCAAACGTGTGTACGTGTGTGTGTGTGTATGTGTAGTACTTTTACGAATCGCCAGTGCACTTTAACGTCAACTCAATCATCAATGCTCGCTTTATCAATTGCTACTCGACGTCTCTTTTCTGTCACGCTAAAAATAAGATGACAGATCCCACGTATTAGTCATTCGAATCAATAAAACAGTTGCACGTTTGTAACCTTCTCTCGGCGCAAATCGGTCGCGTGTATATTTGACCTCTAAAAAGCGCACAATAAGCTATTTTCGATGCTTTGATACGTTTTGAATATAATTTGAAACTTAAATAATCAAGGTAGAAGAAAACAATTATTTTTTTACCTTTTCTACTTATCTCTTTGTAAATATTTATTTAAATTTACTCTTGCTTTACTTCACATTTGTTTTTGTTACTTCGCTTTTTATTTATATCCGTGAATAGAATGGCAAAGTCATACACGCGGAGATACGGAGTATTGATAAAAAAAAAAAAATAAAAATAAAAACCTGCAGAGAGAAGAAGAACATTTCGGAGAAGCGATACATATTTTTAAAAACACATGTGACACTTTTATCGGACCATTAATTCACGACTGGAAGTAAAGTTACTTAATGCACTTGGCGCGTGCGTCTCGGCTGTTTTATATCGGTTG